GCTGCATCAACACTACTGCTGTTCCTGAAACCACGCTTTCTTTCTTTGCGTGCACATTTGGGCGGTGTTATGCAAATCTTCGCACATCGTGACGTAGACATGTGGGGACGTGTTAGAATGAGCCGTTTTAGGAGGGCGTGGTTGACTCAACTTTTATAAATAATATCTCTTTGGATTTGAGACTTTAGTCTTTGCAACTTTAGAGATCTTCTTTATGCACCAAGAGCTTGTAACACTCCAAAGAGAAAGGAAAAATTTTAATCGCATCATATGACCCCTTTAATGTTTACAAACTAAATTGACAATCGAAATTACATCCTATTATGCAAATGCAATATGCTATTATTTGCTTCCACTATGATTCTCATAACTCAGAAAGTCTTGGTTCAAAGAAAATCCTGACATGGTCGTGTCAATTCATACAACAAGGCAAAAAAAATAAAAAATAAAAAATAAAAAACCTTTTTTAACTACTAATCACAGTAATAAACCAACAAGTAAAAAACATTATTTAATCTGATTATGTTTCATTTTTAATTTCTGTGCAAAAATGCACAATTCTTTCACCTTATAAAACAACTGGATATATTTCTGAAACCGTATATTGTATATAAACAAGGTTAACCCTTCATGCCTTAACACTCACATGAACGTGAACAGAATGAAAACATATCAAAATGCACATTTGTCCTTGACTGCATTACGGCTCTTTGTTATTAAAGGCACAACATGTTGTGCTTTGTTTGTTAGTGCCCAACAGAGAATTCAAATTCGAAGTTCATTACTAAAAACAAACAATATTCCCAACAGAACCTCTGCAACATCCAAGACTGCTTAAACAAGCTTCAGGCTAATTATAGATAATGAGACATGGAATCTGTCCACTTCGCGAAATATTCTCCTCTTTATTTATTTTCCCCCTTCACATTTAAGCTGTGTGAATGGAGCATAAACTTAAGCAGAGAATCCTGCCATTATGAGAAGACAGTCTTCTTTTCTCTACAGGCAAGTTCTTGTCTAAATCAAGTCATCCTTAGTGGGGAAAAAATACATAGGAATAAGGACTGAACTTACAGGAATTTGGTGTAAATGCACACAAATTTATATTTTTGCAAAAAACAGAGCATATGCATAACCAAAACAGGCTACAGTAGCAACAAACATGGCAATTTAATCCCTTTTCCTTCCTGTCCACTGAAGTAGACAACAGTATATGTGATCTTTTCAAATTTCACTGAATTGTTTACTTACCTGGCATGTGATATTGCTGCCACCCATTCATCGCAGTCCTTAACATCTTCTGTACGAAGCTCCAGAGCCTTCTGATTCTCATGGTTGAAGATGACTGTGAAATAATACTGTAAAACAGACAGAATAAAAATGCATGTTAACTACAATGCTACACCAAGAATCTAATTTACTACACTTGTGGATGAAATATGAGCCAGTCAGAGTTTATCTTAATCACCAATAAATAAAAAAAAGAAAACAAAAGAAAACAAAAGATAGTGTGTAAATATATTTCTAATTTAATATATTTTAAAATGTAATTTATTCCTGTGATGGCAAAGCTTTTCAGCATCATTACTCCAGTCTTCATTCTTCATTCCAGAAGTCATTCTAATATGCTGATTTGGTGCTCAAGAAATATTTTTCATTATCAATGTTAAAAATGCTTAACATTTTTATTGAAACCGTGATACATTTTTATTCAGGATTTTTGGATATTGAAAAAAAAAACAGCATTTATTTAAAATTGTATATTTTATATGTGATAATGACAGCTAATTGTATATTATCCCTTAATAGAGGTAAAAAAACACAAAAAAAACACTAGAAGGTCTCTCAAATTCACTGAGAGGACCTGTGAATTTGAACTACATTTGGGCATTTGGGCTGAATTGTCCAAAAAACAGATGATAATTGGCACAAATGAATAAAAATCATGTATAAATAGCAACAAGTCTCTGTGCAATGTACAGCATTTTTGAATGTGTCATTTTAATGAATCTTCCAGTAAAAAGATCAGCAGCCCAGCATCTCAGATTGGTACAACATAAAATATGAACAGGAAAACCCTTTGCATATGCTACAAGACACAGTATTCCATGCATAACCTCACCAAGAACACCAGAAATAAGGAACCGCGTGCTTCCACCTCCCTGATTTTTCGGACTGATGACTGAGAGTGCATGAAGAGTTCAGAGAACACGGATCTGCTGGGTCTGAGTGGATGTGCTAAGGGAAACTTCGATGTGCCTGAGATAGCTCCAGTTCTCCAGAGGAATACCATAAAACATGTAAACTGGGAGCGTGGCGCATTACATAACTGTATGCTACCTGTTACCTAGCAACTCCTCTGTGCACTAGTGGCTATGGCTCTGTTTGTGCTACCCGTTTCTCTCCATTTCAGAAAGCCAGGCCTTAGCACTGAATCCCCAACAACCTCCATTTCTGCTGCACGTCAGACCTTCAAGACGCCTTAGCGCTGCTAAATTACATCACAGTCATTTGTCTCATGCAGTGGAGACCCACTGAAAGCAGAAAGGGTGCAAACGCACAGATCGCTATATAACATATTTTGCGAACAGTACTGAAAGAACTTATTATTCAAATAAGAGACTTAAAGCTTCTCAAAGTGTTGTTTCAACACATTTGACCATACTTCAATCAATTCTTCAGATTTCTGCAGATTTTTCCACACAATCATAAAATGTGAAAAATTCTAGAGGGTCTAGTGCAGTGATGGGCAAACTTGGCCCTTCCTGGCCACTTTCCTGCAGAGATTTGATCCAACCCTGATAAAACTCACCTGCCTGTAGCCTTCTAGTAGTCTTGAAGACAATGATTAGCTAGTTCAGGTGTGTTTGATTAGGGTTGGAGCTAAACTCTGAAGGAAAGTGGCCTGGAAGGGCCAAGTTTGCCCACCCTGTCTAGTGGATCTGTTTAAAAACCCAAGTCACAAAATAACATGTAAGATCTGAACTGACTTCAAGTAACCATTTAAGCTAAGCTATATAAATACAGTATATCAGATTTCAGAGATCATACTGTATAAAACACTAAATTGTATTTGTCAGTGTCATCCAGTTTTCTTCTACAGTGCCATGAACAACAAAACCTCCACAAAGCTTCACCGTAACAACTTTACTGATCAACTTTACAACTGTTGCTGTCTGCCACAGAAGACAAAACCTGGCTTTATTTGGATAGTTTTAAACAGAATTTTATAAAAATTAGTCAAACATACTGTAAAATGAACATGAATAACACTAAAAAGCACAAATTTACTTAAAGGTAAATAAAATAAATAGAATATATATACAGCGGGTAAAATAAGTATTGAACACGTCACCATTTTTCCCAGTAAATATATTTCTAAAGGTGCTGTTGAAATTTTCACCAGATGTCGGTAACAACCCAAGTAATCCATACATACAAATAAAATAAAAAAACAAATACGTTCAGAAATTAAGTTACGTGTAATAAAATGGAATGACACAGGGATTGTCATTCCATTTTCAGATTGACTCTCGTTAATTTTTCTAGTCACACTTTAGATTAGAGTTCAATTCTCAATATTTACTAACTTTACTATTAACTTAACTTGACTTTTGCCTCAATATACTCCTAATTGCTGCTTATTAATACTTAGTAAAGTAGTTGTTAAGTTTAAGAATTGGGTAGGATTAAGGATTTAGAAAAAGGTCTTGCAGAATAAGACATTAATATGTGCTTTTTAAGTAATAATAAACAACCAATATCCCAGTAATATCCATGCTAATAACCAACTAGTTAATAGTGAGAATTGGACACTAAAGTGTTACCAATATTCTTACTAACTCACCAAAGTATTAAAAGTGAGAAGGGTACATAAAAGCATGCATTTTAAGGATAAACTTAAAATTTTTTATGTTAAATCCACTATTGTATTGTATATGTATGATCTACAGTCTATACACAGTATTAAGTTCAATTACATAAGAAGTTATTGTAATTAAATTACAGAAAAAATAAAAGTAATCCCTTACTTTACTTTTTCAAGGGAAACATAATTAAATTACAGTAACTAATTACTAATTAATTACACCCAACACTGTTCGTGATCCAGCTTCACCTACAGAAGAAGTGAGTATAAGTTTTTTATGAATCTTTGCAAATCAGCTTTCCTAATAATGTGCTAATTAGCAAGTTCCTCGGCTAAATGCGGCTAAAGTTTACAGTCTCATGAGAACGGCTCGTCACCCCACAGAAGAGAGGGGTGGGGTGAGCAGAGTTCATTAGCATTTAAAGGGACATGCACCAAAACAGGTCACTGTGAACAGAGCAGTTTTTGAAAAGGGTTTTACACTACCATTGAGAAATTTTAACCAAAGTATGTTATAGAGTTTTCAATAGGACCCTAAAGAATCATATCAGCTTGTGGAAAATGAGCATCCGATGACTCCTTTAAAATAACTGCTTTCTATTTGAATATATTTTAAAATTATGTTTTATTAACAAGGTTCGGGAGGAGCGCATCAGATACTTAGCCTAATTAACACAGGTGGAGCGCACTCAAGTTAATCAACACCATGGCATAAATACAGCTGACTTACCTCTATCCATCGAACTACCCTCGCCACCTCCGGCGAGAACCCCAGTCGACTCCCCGGCGTCCTCCTATTGCTTGGCCAGGCCAACGATTCCGCCAATAGGAAAGTGGACTGTGTCAAGTCTGAGGCAAGCGCTGACCAAATCCGACGTCCAGCCTTCACGCAAGTTAAACAAAGCAGAATTATATGACTTGTACACAAATCTGCATCTAACTAACCTCTCTCCCGAGTCCACCCCAACCCCAAAGAAGGGCAAAAGACAAGGCAAACCTCCAGATACGCCTCGCCGGACTCCACCGTCTTCCTCCTGCGCAAGGCCCAGCTCTCTACGATTATCAAGCCGCGGCGTCAGGCCATCAGCAAGCCTGGGCCGCGCCCCGGATCCCGCCGCCGCAAGGGTGCATGTGACACTGGCCGCAGTTCAGCCTCGCATCGCGGCTTCTACTTCAACAACGCCGGGGCCCGTAGCTCAAGCAAGCACTTGGCCGCCTCCGCCGCCAATCACAGTCTCACTGCACGCTACTTTCAGCTCAGACCTCGCAGCCCAAGCAAGCGCTTGGCCGCACTGGCCGTCACACACAGCCCCGCCGCCTGCCCCTTCCAGCTCGGGGCCCACGGCCCAAGCAAGCGCTTGGCCACACTGGCTGTCATACACAGTCCTGCCGCCTGCCACCTCCAGTTCGGGGCCCGCAGCCCAAGCAAGCGCTTGGCCGCATTGGCCGTCACACACAGCTCCGCCGCCCGCCCCTTCCAGCTCGGGGCCCGCGGCCCAAGCAAGCGCTTGGCCGCACTCACTGTCAAACACAGCCCCGCCCCCAGTCCCCTTCAACTCTCTCCTCCAAGCGAAATCACAATATTCGCTCTTCACTGCTACACCAATGCCCGCCCCATCAAACGCCGTCGTCTCTGAACCTCCCCAAGTGGCTCACAACATCCGAGCGCAGATATTAGCAGGTGCGGACGTCGATCTCTCTTCTTTCCCTCCTGCCCACTTCCGACTCAAACCGTCAAATAGACTGCAGGGATTTCTCAGTCACTTTAAAAAACCCAAATCCTTTTTCATCATGACTACTTTCTTTTTCTGAGTTCACCATTGCATTTAGTCAGTTCACCGAGATCATCTGTTCAGCCTTCCCCCACAGGCGACGCAAACTCAATGATTATTTGTCAATCATAGCCGAGCTCATGTTGTCCTACGGAGGGGGGCATTTTTACATGTACCACAAGCTTTTTTTCTGCAAAATGTGCAGTACGAGTCGCCCAATGGAACCAGTGCCCTTACTGGGGCACACTCGATCCAGATCTCCACAGCCGGGAATTTTTAGACTGCAGGAACATTTCTTGTGCGGTTTGTAGGTCAGTCGCTCACTCCACCATGACTTGCCCACAAATCAACCCCTCTATACCCTCATGCCCTGATACTTCCTCTGTGAAATCCACCAGCTACGTCCCAAGATCCGCAACTACTGCAAACTCGGGTCCCGAGCAAACAGCCCCATCAGCAGCAGATAACAGGCAGTCATGCATCTCGTTCAACAGCGGGAGATGCATCAGACAGCACTGCCGCTACCTTCACATCTGCAGATTCTGCCGCGGAGCTCACGCCCGCATCGTTTGCCCAGTGTACAAAGCTGTGAATAAAAAAATCAAAAAATTACCTATTGACTCCCGTGAATATTTCTCGCCTGACCATCGAACTCGCTCACCACCCAGACAAAAAATTCACTAATTAACTTCTGTCTGGCCTCAGACACAGTTTTAAC